ACTAGTCAACACAAAAATTAAGCTAAATACAAAATTAAAATCACCAAATGACATAGACCTAGCGGTCCTCAATCTTACAAACATAATACAAACCGCAGCATGGTCGGCTAGTAATACAAAGCACCTCCTTCTCCAAGCTCACTTCCTGAATATATACGTAACAAAATTGTAGAAAAAAGAAGAGCAAGAGCTGTATACCAACGCACGCGCTTACCTTCCCATAAACTTAATTACAATAAATTAGATAATTCACTAAAAAAACTACTCACTGAATTTAAGTAAAAAATATGGCAAAATCAATTAATGAAACTCATTCCCTTAGACGGTAGCCTACCGAGAGAAACAAAACAAATACTTCGCTGTAAATCTCCAAATCTCCCTATTAAAAAACCAGATGGTAGCTTAGCTACTTCGGATATTGAAAAAGTTGAACTTTTTAAGGATCATTTTGCTAATACCTTTTAACCATACGCTTATATCATAGACGTTGATAACATGAATCAAGTCGAAACGTTCTTAAACACCCCCCTTCCAGTGTCTCTCCCAGTCAAGTCATTTTCACCTAATATGTAAAATATGCGATACAAAAATATGCTCTTAAAAAATCACCAGACTACGATTGCATTACTGTGGAAGTAGCCAGATCCCTTCCATTTAGAGCCGTAGTTCACATCACTCATATATTTAATGCCTCACTCAGACTTTCCTATTTTCCACTACTTTGGAAATTCGCAACTATAATATTATTTCCATAACCAAATAAACCATCAGACCTACCTTCATCACACCGTCCAATCAGCCTTCTCCCTTTTTTCGGAAAAATAATGAAATGGTTAATTCTGAAACGAATCCTCCCGATAATTACTGACAAAAATATTCTTCCAAACACCCAATTTGGGATTCTTGCTTCTCACTCGACTGTTCATCAAGCACACAGAGTCGTAGACTCCATTTCGTATTCCCTGGAAAATAACTGTTCTGCAATTGCGTGTTTCTAGACATCTCACAAGCATTCAACCGCGTATGGCATGACGGGCTTTTGTATAAATTTAAAAAATGAATGCCTTCCACCTACTACTTACTTACTAAATCCTATCTAACTGATCACCATTATCAAATACGCTACGGTTCTGCGTTATCTGACATAGCTGTTATCAAGGCTGGTGTTCTCTAAGGGGGCATTTTGTCTCCTATTCTGTACAATATCTTCACTTCTGATCAACCAACTACCCCCAATACATCATTAGCAGACTACGCTGACGACAAAGCAATAATACCTATTGCCAATGATCCACTCATAGCGTCATACAATCTCCAAACTCACCTTAACTACATGGAAAAATGGTTTACTAACTGGCGATTCAAAGTAAACCAAAGCAAATCTATACATACTACCTTCACTCTCAAACATGCTTCCTGTCCCACAGTTTTTCTATACTGTACTCCTATCCCTTTCTCTCCAAAGATCAAATATCTCGGGATCACTCTCGACCAAAGGTTAACATAGGCTCATCACATCAAAATCAAAAGATTAGCACTGAATCATCGTCTTCATATCCTCAAACCCTTAATAAGCAATAACTATACCCCATTAAAACCAAAATTCTGATCTACAAAACACTTTTCGAACCCATTTGGGCATACGGACTCCAACTTTGGGGAAACACTAAAAAGTCTAACATACTGAAAATTTAAACATTTCAAAGTATCATTCTCCGAAAAATAATGAACGCACCACCCTACGTGTCTAATCACACCCTTCATACTGACACCAAACTCAAAACAATTAACGACGAAGCCAAAATATATTATAAAAGATTCTACTCCAAACTAATTAATCACCCTAACGAACTCATAAAAAACTTATCTACTCCTTCCATACCTGGTAATCCTCTTAGACGCCTGAAACGTAAATGGTGTCGTAATCTCTTAAGTTAAGCTTTAAAAAAATAAATAAATAAAAAATAAAATAAAAATAAATCCATAGAAAGTGCCATCGATGGGTGGCTTCTTTCATCAAATTTCCATATCAAACTTTGTAACTCTCCTCATATATGCTTATTGTGTCTAGTCAATACAGATTGTGAATTACGTTAAAAATTTAAAAAAAAAAAAAATAAATTTATTTAAATTATATTTTCATTTTTGTCTGTTAAAAAAAATATCACACTGTTTATTCATTATAACTAGGCTAAGAGACTTATAGTTCTAAAAAATACACAAATATGCATTCAAATATGTTTATAAAATCATTAAAATATGCATTATAATATGCATTGTGCATTATTAAAAAAAAAAAAAATGACCATATACTACACAAAATAAAACGTGTCCATCAAATATAAATATATATTTAAACTCCGAAAATTTTGTAGTTGGCTACTCGTAGACTGTTGTACTTTCGGCATTACACAATATTACAAAACATACGCATACGACCTTTAACGTATGGTTCTACTTTGTGTGGTTGTGAGATGCAAAAAATAATAAATCGACTGAACTGAACACTAAACAAATAATCTATTATTCTACTATCGAATATTATCTTTATCGACATCCGGTCAATATACAGCGGGTTAAAATGTCGATAAGAGTTTATAGTATTATTTATATTTGCACGAAAATTATAATGAGATATGAGAGGTAGTTTGCAAATAGTATATTACTGGAAGTATTAAGTTCTCTATATTTTTTTTCGATCGGTTGAAATATGTATCCATAGTTTTTAATTTTAAATTTGAAAAATTTGTCAAAATATGCAAAATAAGCATAAACATTTTAAAATATGCCCTCTCCTGCGAAATCTATCATATATGCAAAAATATGCATTTTAAAATTTTTGATCTGATACCATGGCACCGAGAATATTTAACAATAATTAAAAAAGTATGTAAATGCTAGAAGTCCCTAAGCCTAACTATAACAAGCACCAGATTAGCACGTGCATCGCGCATAATATTTCCAATTTAAAATATACAATATTTAAACCGGCGCACTGAATAGGCAAATTGATTAACTTCTTGAATAAATAATAAAACACTATTATTAGTATTTACATAATATATATATATATATATATATAAATATTTTTTTATACATGCATTTATTATTATTACAGCATCAACTTCTAACTTATAAGCTTACGACAGTTCAAAATTATTACATACAAAAAATACAATAGTTTTCTCAGTTTAAGTTATGCATATTGGTAAGTTTTAGAAATTAGATGACTTTGTTGATGTTGTCTCCAATTGGGTTAAGGGCTTCAAAGAAGTTGTTAAGCATTCCTAAGCTTTCTCTATTTTTTTTTATGAAATTGACAGTACGTAAGGAGATGTTTGACTCTAAGAGATTATTTTTACAGGTTTGGTACAGTGTTGATTATTCTCTTCGCGCAATATGACCATCTGACATGTTTGAGTGATCTATGTGTAGTCTATTAATTATTATCTCATTTTTATGATATAGTAAATGAACCAGTTTATGATAGTGGTAGTATTTTTTATTTTTCTTATTTTGTTTCTTTTGTGGTAGTTACTATTCGGAATCCCATAATTTTTTATAATAGGTGTTGAAGTTCCTATAGATGTAAATCAGTGTGGAATAAGTCAGTATTATCATCGTAGAGTTTCTGACTAATTTACGATCTACTTTGTTTATTTTCTTATTTCCATCGGTACCACATACGAATCATATTTTCTTGTTTGTTGTTTTATTATGATTTTTGTTTATTTTACTGATAATGTGCTCGAGTGAAAGTTTTAATTCGGATTCTTAAGAGCGCTGAAAAATCTGAACAAATTTTGATGATAGAATCGGGAAATTAAATAAATACATGGACCCTTTTGAAGAAAGCAATCTATTTTATTGTATTGATACTGCTATGGTCTAGTAGTTATACGATATAAATTGGTCGCCGTTTATGATATTGATCGCAATAATGGTATTAGAATATGAATATTTTCTAAAATTAGCTTGCAAAACTTAATTAATTCACCATACAATAATAATTAGGTTAAAACCAATGATTGCATATGGTAAAATGGAAATTCGGTTTTTTTTTCTCAAAAAGTTTTTTGGAACTACCAAAGAATTGATTGTTGAACGTAAAGAAAAAAATTCTCTACACAATAATAATTCGTATTTATCTCAACATATACTGACGGCTAGGATGTACATAAAATAAAGTTAATTAAAAACTTTTGACAAAAAAAGGGCGAATAAAATACCGTGAAAACGGTTGATGACTAAAAATAAAAGGAAGACTTTTAATTATGCATTTTATAATGAATTGTAAAAATGTATTATTTATTAAAATTTAAATGGCTCTCATTCAGTCAATTTTGATTTTAGAGCCATGGTTAATTGGTCAAAATGACTTAAAAAAATTCAGCCTATCCAAATTTGGTATCAAAAATACCGGTTGCTATTAAAAAAAAAATAAAAAATAAGTTTCATTACGCATGCGCGTACCGAGAGGGTTAAAAATTTGGAATTTATCTGAATATGTGTATTTATATACCACTAGTTTGTTAAAAAATAACTGATTTATTCCAACGTAATCTGGCTGAGAAATTCAGTGTTCCCTAAATTGGTGAATACACGGTATATAATATAAGATTTTTTGTAAAGTATATCAATTTATTCTTAATATTTTATAGGTACATGCAGTTATTCAGTTCCAGCAATCGCCATGGCTGGCTAAATACACTGGGTTAAATACTGCAATGAAGAAGAAAGCAATTAATGACTTTGAAAAAGATTTTATAAATTAATGTGTTCAAAACTTCTGATTTTTCGTTCGATCTGCACTATCGTTGGCCATACTTCGCACCCATAGGTTAGTATTGGTCTTTTAATACTCATGTACAGTAGTACTTTTGTTCCTCTAGAGAATATATTTCGATTTGAAATATTTTATTAGTGAGAAAAAAGTATTTTCCGCTTTGAGCAAGCAACTGGTTATTTCGGTGTTCCAGTCATACCAGTAATTGTTACACCTAGGTACTTGAAGCTATATGCTTTCTTAAATACCTATTCTTATCTACTGTAAGATCTTCCTCGTCTATTTCAAGCAACGTTTTCATTTCTTTGGTTTCCTCCTCATTTATTTCTAAACCAATCTTTTTTGCTTCCTGTATGAGTGTTTTGGTATTTCGCACAATCATTTCCTTGTTTTCTCCTACTAAATTTAGATCGTCTATAAAACCTAGAACATCTAGCGTAGTTTCGTCAATATTAATTCCGAGTTTATTATATTGTACCCTGCGTATTACTTTTTTTAATGCTATGTTGAAAAGTATTGGCGTTAGTGCGCCACCATGCTTAAGCCCTGTTATCACTTCAAATTCTTCGGATAATGTAAAATCCACTCTAACTTGATATCTTATTCCGTCCGTACACTTTTTTGTCAGTGATATGAATTTCCTAGGGAAGCTGAACTCATACATTATATTATATAAGCTGTTGCGATGGATGATATCAGAGGCTTTTTTAAAGTTCACAAATACTTGCCATATGTTTTGTCTGTACTCATATTTATTGTCTAGGAGCTGTTCTGTAGTTACGAACTGGTCTATTGTGGATTGGCCTTTTCAAAAGCCACACTGATAGCTTCCCATAAACTTTTCAGCCAGTGGTTCTAGTCGTCCTAATAAAATTTTGGAGAAAACTTTATACCCTGTATTTAGTAATGATATCCCCCTATAGTTGTTGCAGTTCATCATGTCTTCTTTATTGTGTATCAGAACGACTATAGCCTTATTCCATTCTTCAGGTAGTTTTTCTTCATTCCATATACGATTATATAGTTCATATATCGTTTTGTGCAGTTCTGAGCCACCATATTTTATAATTTCAGCTGGTATCACGTCTGACGCGAGGGCTTTCCAGTTTATAGCTCCTAATGTTTCATCTAATGATATATCCTTAACTTTTTGTTCCGCTCTCTGATCTTCCCAGGTTGGTATTAGTATGGTTGGTATCTCTCCATTCAACAACTCTCCGAAATATTATTGCAATCTTGATGCTTTCGTTTGTAGGTCTAATAATATTCTATTATGTTTATCTTTTATGGCTTTTTATGTTGGATTGAACTTTTGGTGTTTTTTTATTGCTGCAAAGAAATTTTGGGCTCTGCCTTATGCGTAATCTTGCTTTGTGTTGTGTATGATATTTAGATTTAATTTATATATATTACATACTACTCTAATTTTTGAAGTACTCGATGTATTCGTAGATTCAATTATTGTAGCCAGAATACTATAAGATTTCAGAATTAAGTCTATTTCGTAGAATTTACATGTAAGGGGCGGCAAAATTTAAGTTTTCCTAAGTATAATCAAAGATTTGAGCTGGGCCTATAATTTCCTGTTCGTAGTTCGTACTTTTTTCACTTTTTGTACCCTTGTCTCTTTTTTTGAAATCTGAGATATGAGTAAGAAAAAACGTGTATTGGGTTTTAGTGCTACCACACACTGCACACACACCGAAATATTAATGATAATAACTCCCGCATGCACAGAATCATCACAGTTAAATACTGTATTTAGACGCTCCTGGCATGTTGCTTTGTTGCAGTATCGATCATCGGAAACGATTTGTCTCCGTGGGTGACCGATCAATAGTGTATGCCGTTGTTATCATCGTATGAAAAAAAAAAAATAAGAAAAAAATAAAACGTCCAAAAACTAACGCACATTATTTAATGTTTTCATAAGTTCGGTTATGTTTCAGTCTAAATTAAAGTCATTGTCTCAGTGTCACAAAGTTTCATAAGTTCGCGTATACTAGTTTTAAGGTAGTGCCACTGAGGCAATTATCTTCATTGTGAAGTCCGGTGGACATAGCCTTCTTGGAAATGTTATCGGCACCTACTCGTTCTCTCTCGTTTGGTCCGTATTTGTGTGTACATCATGGGCACAACTAGAGCCTAAATATTGGGGGTGCTGAAATTTCTGAAAATAATATAAAATTGTATTTAATTGTAATTAAATAGTTGTGCCTATGGTGTACATGTAAAGTTTATGAATTCATCGTCCATCTACAGCCTTTTTTGTAAAACCACGTTTTCGATCAATTTTGTATTGGTCTTTTGGTAAGTGCCGTTTTACGCAGTTTTATTGCCATTTTGTTATAGTTTCTATTGTTTCAACGACTATTGTGAATAACGTGGCTTAATTCATTGTCGTCGTCCAGCGCTATAGACTTGTGAATTTCACCGTGAACAAGTGTTGACATACGAGTTCGTGGGTGGGGTCAATTTTATATCTTTTTGTTGTATTCATTCTTAAGTAATTACGGCGTTCAATGATTTGATTACATATCGTAAAAAAAAAAAATGTCCAGATAAATTACGGTAAATAACTAAAGATTTCTGAGATAGCATTAGGATTTTTGTTTAAATAAAATAATAGATACTTATCTATTTTTTATTTTATTATTTTTATTTGGTTAAATCTAAACACTTTACTATAAATAATAGTAAAAATTGTTAAACATCTGTGCGTCCGAGGTGTCTCGTTCGGGTGCCGTATAACATAGATGACGTGTCGAATTAAAAATCAGGTAAAAAGCTGATGACGCCCCCAGTTGATGCATACCATAGAATGAATTAAGAATCTATGGAATGCAATAACTGGGGGAGCCACCAGTAAAAAAATACAAAGCCTCGAACCGTTAGATAAGGAGGCACGTCATCTTTTTTCTGTTTTTCGCAAGTTTTCCTTAAGAAATTCGAGAGAAGATAGATGCAGTTCGATTCTCGGTCAGGTTTTTTAAGATTTTTTAATTTTTTTTATCATGCTCATTTATTTATTTTTATTATAATACTAGCTGACCCGACAAACGTTGTTTTGTTGTATAAATTATTTCTAGTGAATATTTTGCTAGAAAAAAAATACTAATTTAATATAGGCATGTAAGGATGTGGGTAAGGATAAGGATGTAAGGAAGAGGTATGGAGTGCTATGAACGGTGACGAAATATAAAAATGAAAAAACATCAAACATTTATTTTGTATTTTTCTAGTAAAAAACAATATCTATCCCTGAATGCAACAGAATGTACAATATTTTTTGTTATCCCATCTTTCGCCAACTCAAAGTGGATGGTCGAGAGCACGCCACGTATAATTGTCCGTGTGAAAAATATGATGTGCTCAAATATAAGCCACAGACAGATAACTTTGGCCTTGAGACTTATTCATAGTCATTGCAAATGCCAATTCAATTGGAAATTGAAGGCGTTTAAATTGTATTGGCACATCTGTGGATATAATAGGGGATTCGCAGTAATAATATATTTTCACCTCAGAATTTGCCATTTAAAATGATGGCTTCGATAACATTTTTCATTAATTTTTTAATGACTCATCGCGTGCCGTTGCACAACCGTGGTGGGTCAAATTACGAAGCAAAATAACCAGAGATCAAACCTTAAATTTTAAATTATGCGGTGGCATGCCTGATAAATCCAATGAGTTTAAAAACTCTGTTCGATAATTTACAGCTTCAGTACCATCGCAAACTGTATCTATAGATTTGCATGACACCAAGTCTCCTGGTACCAAATATTGTATCTTGAGATTTAATTCGTTGACGTCCACATTTTTTGATACTAAAATTGCGCTTTCTGTCAGCCACTCATGATTTGTGTATTGTCTGTGTACATTGAGAAATAACTGGTCAATGAGAGCATCTTTCGAATAAAGGATTGTGCAGAAATTGGTCGGTAATTTTATATATCCCGTTTCATATGTAGTAGCTTTTCCATCTCCAATATTTAACAATTGTTTTGAGAATCTTCTGCACGCAGAATTTTTTTGATTGAATCGCAAATATCGAAATCGTTCGCTCTCTATCTTTACATACATTTCGACCATGAATTGTAAACAATGCTCATAACATCGTAGAATAACTTTGTCCTGATCGCGTTTAATCATCAACCGATATGCATAATAATTTTTTGAACTAACATTCTTATTTGTTTTAGCACCTGTTTTGATCTTTTTGTTTAAAATTTATACAATACCCGTCATTTACTACCAAAAATAAAATTAATTTTTTTTTAATAGTTTTATTAAATAATTCATTTTCAATTGCGCAGTTATCGACCGGGTCAAAAATTATTAAATTAAACTATGATTATTAAACAATAGCACTTTTCCAAATTTTTTTTTCGTAAAAACCTTCTTCTGGCAATTACTAACAATTAAAAAAATTTGAGCCAAATCGGTCCAGCCGTTCTCAATGATGAAATATTATACATTTTTTGCTCTATTTTATATGTACATAGAAAACTGATAACTAACTATTTATTACTTTATCAGACTAAATTTACGACTAAAACCTTCTATGTGATGTCATCTTTAATTTAAAAAAAACTGCACGAAAATCCCATAAGTATTTTCAGAGTTTATCCCGAACAAAATAAAGGGACTTCATTTTATATAGTAGTATAGAATAGATTATTATTATTATTATGTATAGATCAGACCAATTACAAAATTACATACATACTTATTACCTTAGTGTTCTCACTAATCACCGCCTTAACTTTTAAATGATTAACATTTTATCAATCAGTTGGAACATACATTTGACACTTAAAACCGACCAATACTCACATGTGACTATGTTGTTGATGGTGGATTTCAACTCATGCACTGGGGATGTGAGTAATACAATACATTTAATGCAATAAAGACATGCAACCACTCAACCACAATCACGAACGAATATACAAATTTGCAGCGTAGGACGAAAACCACATTAAATCACAATTAATGCTAGTAAGTGAACTCTCTAAAACATGGTAATGAATAAATGTAAGGTAATGAAGTTTTGTAGAACAACACTAATCAAACATCAAATAAAGAAAAAAAATAGTTTAATATAGAATATAAAAAAATTAAAAAAAACATTACTCAAAAAGAAAAAAGAAATGCTTTTAAATGACAAAAATAAAAATAAGAAAATTTAGACACTTGAATTGAAATTATTATGAAATTGAACCTTGTTCATCTTGATCTTGATATTGATATTGATATTTCCTAATTATAATTATATAAATTATCTATTTATATAAATCGTTCTTTATTTGTTATTAAAACGCTTTGTTTATCACCATAGAAATGAATAAAATTAAATAAAAAAGATTCCCTCATCCGCTAAGAATCGTTTTTTTATCGAATGCAATCATTGCATTCAAATCGAATACATGAAAATTACACTATCTTGTTCGAATTAGTTTTTTGTAACATAACTTCTTTCAGAACATTTTTTAAAAAAAATTATCATTTTCATTTTCACATGTATAGTTAAGTATCTATATTTGTTCATCTTTCGTTAAATTGTTCAGCAAGAAATTGGACTATAAATTATGAAATTTAATATGTCTAATAAACGTTAAAAATAATTTGAACATTAGAGATTATTTTTTTTTGTTCTAA